TTGTGACTGAGCTTACGTAGGCATTTAAACGGATACCCAGGAGTGCTTATTATGTTGCAGGTCATGGGAAAGCCACCTTTGAGACACATGTACTCTAACGGATGAATGTTCAGTGATCGGAGGCGCTCTTCATAAGGCTTGAATTTGAGCCCTCGAACTGTTTTCGTGGCTCGCCACTTGATACGTTTCAAAGTCTCTTTATCCTTTTGGAGTAAAAAAGGAAATACTATGTTTTCGTACTCCAAATGTGGAAATTTCTTCTAACGAACTGACCAAAAATGCCTTTACGTTACCGGTGCAAGGCTTGCTCGGAACGCATGTTTTTCGCAGTCATCGTACAACTCTAGATCGTAGGGTACCAACCTAATTAGATATTTTTTCAAAGTGGGATACTTACAGAAAAGAACTATCTAAGTTGTATCTGTAGTCAGCAATATGTCTCAGATGGACTACTTTACACTATGAAGTATAGAAACGATGTCCGTTGTCATATACTCGATTTTCAGTTGAAGTCAGATCCTCATATGGTGTCAGTTTATTACCTTGATTGCAAACTTTTATTCGAATTCCCACATCCTCAGCGAAAAGCAGTAAATAGGAAGATAAGTGCTAAGGAAGGTCATCTATGCAAAACAAAAAAGGAAGGGGTTCAAATACTGCACCGTGAGGGGCCTTACAAGGTTATTCTGTAGCCTGAGAAAAAGTGAAGTTTACCCTGGCCCTATAAAGTCACTTCTTTAGATATTCAGTAAGTCAATCAATCAATGATTACTTGATACCTAACGGTTTCTGCTTACTGATGAGATATGTATGATTGATCATCAAAATCTTTTGATAAATCAAGGTATATGACACCAACCTTCACCTTGAGATCGAGGAAGGTTTTCCGTCTGTCCACTTCGGTCAAGAGGTTGGCTATATAAGAGCGACTCTTTCTGAAACCATGTTACCCAGGTGAAAACAAATGTATGGATAATAAGCAGTCACGTTTAACACCATATACTCAGTTAGTTTGATATTTTATAAGGTACATTGATCATAATATTATGGGGAATAACACTTCTCACATATGAATGTAAATAATATTAGCAAGATGTGTATTGTCAACATGACTGTTGGCGCGCTTTGTGGATGTTGCTACTTGGCACTAAGAGTGTCAGCAAGGTGTACCGGTAGTCCTGAGGGAGCTGGTGCACCCTGACGGACTCGATCCCGTGTCACCCAGCTTCACAGTCAGTAACGTTACCACTGAGCTATTCGGGCCGCGAAAGACCTCCTGTAGGACTGGGATGTAATCACGATTGGTTGATCACTGGATGATTGCTAGGAATAAATCCACATACATTTGAGAGCTTCTAGAAACCACAACCTTATATCCTTCTGGAACAGCTGAGGCATTAGTGATGGCGGAGTTCAAAGTCACTCGTTTCATACGTATTTTCGTCGGCATTTCTCAAGGAGGCTGAAAAAGAGGTTAAGGCAAAGAAAGAACGAAAAGCAGAGCGGACAATGTTCAGGAAGGAATAGTTAAAGTATGACTACTCAGTCAAATTCTCTTCTATTAAGGTATTTGTTAAGCAAGAGCATTCCAACAGGTTAAAGAAAATAAGTGCAGATTAGGTATGAGTGGATAAACAGCTGACAAATGGGGGTGGTTCAGAAAGAAGCTGAGAGTATGACGTTATGTGTAGTTATAGTACCGAAAATAGTATTCTAATATACAAATGGCCGTTCCCCTATTTGTTGAAGCCATTTCATCCCATTTTTGCAGATTTTATCGCGTCTTGAGCAGGCTTCGTTTTGTAGGTGCATGTTTAACATTTTTATTCCTGTTATAACTTGTAGCCTGTGTGCCTTGTTAATGTATAAGGTAATGATACCGCCAAATAGAGAGGAGTGAATTACCGATCGGATCAATGACGTATAAAACACGTACGAGCAGCCTAGAGTCCTTATTGGTCCTGCTTTCCGCATAGCCCAGCCAGTTAATTCCAGAACACAAATCCCAGCCTCTGCGATATGAATCACTTATTTCAAACATACGGGGTTTATATACCAATCAAGCAGACCACATCGTATCAGTAGAGTAGAAAACAACATTTGTATAAGATTTAGGCAAATGTGGCTGCGAATAGGTGAGATAGTAATTGATGGACAGGGCATAATTCAAGAATGGTAAATCGTGCAATAATAGTCCATAGGTTGAAATAAAGCTCATAATAAGAAGGACATGAATATGAATAGTTCAGTTATTAAACAATTATACGACAAAAATGTACGCATAGTATTGGTCCATAAATAAATCCCAAGTTGCCATTCATCATGCTTATCGGGACATTACAACTCCTACATAGTATACGCCATCTTACCAACGTTTGCGAGCGTAGCTAAAACGGTACTCATTACACAAAACCATGGTCACATATTTGAGAGAAATGAGTTGTAAATCTAATTCTTAAACAAATTCTCCGTGTTATGGCTTTTAAGTAGCGTGCTGGTTTGATACACATTTGTAGCCACGGTGTAACGACAGTAATTTGAGCATATGATTTGAACAAACTGTAAGATCCATCTTGAATGCTTTGTGTCTTTGTGAAAATCCCTCCATGTATATACTTGCACTTTGTTCCTATTGATCTTCTTAGTTGTACATTGTTAACTTTTTGACTACATTTGAATTGTTAATATTTGTATTTTATTATAGTTTTCGTTTTTACCACACCTTCACTAATTTCACGTGTTTCTTCCCGAACTGCACTTATGTTGTTTTACTTTATGCTAAGACTGGGCGGCAGCCGTTTTGCTTTGTTCTTGCTTTTGATTGCTTGACCTGTATTGACTGGAATTGTGCATTTTGGTTGTGAATTGAAGCACTCTTTCAGAATTGAAAACACTGTGTTATAGAGCGACCAATTATTACCTTTTGAACGAATTTGTACGTGATCTATCCAGACAGGATAGAATAACATTTATTTGTGGTGATTGGTAATTTTCTTGCATCCTTTATCAAATTTCTTATTTATTGTAGTTTAGATTTGATCAATTGAACAATTATTGTTTGGATAGCTGAGTGGCTATATTTGTTTAGGTAATAATGTAAACTTAAATTTATGAGAAATTATACAACCGTCATCTTACCCAATTACTTTGTTTTGGTTTCAATCGGGCGAGGGCACGTATTTGACTCATCCAGACAGCTGTCCTTCAATCCAAACCGTAGTTTAGATCTTACACAAACAGCTAACGAATCAAAGTTTATTTCATTAGATCAAACTAAAGTCTTCAGTACATGAACGAAGTTTTTGTATGAGTCAGAAAATTATATATTCAAACACATACTCCATGATCTATTCAAACAATTCTAATGAAGAAAAAAACAAATTACTTCAAAAGCACAAAATATCTCGTATGTATAGGGGCTCTATATCTGACACAAGCGAAATCATGTGCTGTTTGTCATTGAAATAAACATGCTGCCAATCTTCGAACATTTTTATCGACTTACACCGCATTGAAGCGAATAAAATGAAATAAGTCAAATATGGGGATTAATTTTGAATATATACAGTTCATACACTCATTGATCTGAGCAGACGATCAGAGAAACTCAGCAAAAGAAGTAAAGCGATGCGCAGTGGAAAAGGCAAGTGAGCTGACTCGATTTAACCAAATGTGACCCAGTATTTACGGTTAGACCACCAATAAATTGCAGACACATGATAAATACGGCAAGCAATAACAAACATACAATCACATAAAAATAGTCGTGGTTAATTAGCCAATAAGTGACAAAATCAAAACGTGGCTTAAGAAGAATAAATAAATTGTCTTGTCCTGAAGCTGGAATAGTATATGCCACCTTGAAGCCCCATATAGAAAATGCCGATAATAACAAAAACTGGTTACACAATAAGTCTACGTTAACCATTCCCATAGAAGAAAAGGTTTTTTTTACCACAGAAGAACATGATGAAGAGCAAGAGGAACGGTTCACAAACAAGTATTCGGTACCTAAGAATCAACAAGAATAATTCAAGATGAGATAAAATATCTCTCTTTAAAGACCCGAGTAACCATTTCCAGCAGGCAGTCAGAGATCAACACCCATCAACTGAACCACGCCCTAACCTCGCGTTTGGTCAAACACGATTTCCTATCAATAACCTGACAACATACGACAGTAAAGTTATGTAATAAAGGCAGATTTTCAACCAGAATCAAATACTAAAAGTAAAAATAAGGAAAACTTAAGAACAGAAGACGTTGGCAGATCATAAGTGTAGATCATCAATGTCGGATGATTGGGGGCCAACTCAAGTTAGACGGGACTGGTATGACCAACTGCTAATCTTGCGGCCGACACCTAACGTGGGCTGCCCCTTCGTCATGTCAAGGAAGCTTTGAAGACCGTACAACACGAAGGACGTTACTACTGAAATGTATTAGTTAAAGTAGGCACTAGTGAAAACGTGACAACCACCGCATGGGCCAGTCCATGACGAACGATTAACTAATGTGTGTTGGTTGTCCTTGAATTTGATGACGATGTGTTCGATATTCAGTAACGCAACTGCCGGATGATTTGGCTAGGGCTCAGTGAAATTGCACTGACCTCACATGTGGTTACATGAGATATGAGCCTAGTTAAAACACAAGACAGGAAAAAGGGACAAGCAATTAACCATAATATTCCATAAAAGAATTTTATGGGGTTTTCGGCGTATTGTTCCTGTTGCACAAATTGTCAACATATTTTCTATTTCCTTCTGGACTACAAGTGCTATGTCCAAGACCGAATACTGGTACGGATACAGAATGCTCGGGTGCATATTTTCTTTTTTAATTATCCTAAAAACGCAGTATTTAAGTGTGTGTCGGTATTCAAGTCAGACAGAACTCTATGTTCATAGTCGAATACAATGCATTTGGAATGTGAATCAGTTGAAGAATAATGTGCAAAGGAATCATTGATCTATAAAAACACCGTAATATCGCAAAGTAATTTTTTTCCATCAGTTGTAGAATGGCCATTCTGAAAACAATAATCAGTGATTAATATATGTTGGTCATTCCTTGTTTAGATCGACTACATCCAGCTATAGCGAAATATAGTAGCGTCGAGTTCCGTTTGGATTTGATTATGACCTCTGATTCGAATAAAGAAAATGAGCTGTCTAAGTATATTGTGAGTTTTTCCTCCATTTTATAAGATCATCTGGTTGCAGAAAGAGTATACACCGGGCATTATCGAAAAAGTAATCCGGTTTTCTTAATTATAGTACTTATAGGAAGTCAGCTATGGCAAGCAGTTCTCCGTCACAAAAAGCGAAATCGAACTAGAACCCTTACTGAAACCAAACCCACACCGTTTCGTCCTTTTCCCCATAGAATATCACGATGTCTGGCATTTTTATAAGAAGGCTGTAGCTTCTTTTTGGACTGTGGAAGAGGTGGATTTGTCCAAAGATCTCATACATTGGGAGTCGCTCAAGGTTGGGGAACGTCATTTCATATCCTACGTGTTAGCTTTCTTTGCGGCGAGTGACGGAATTGTACTCGAGAACCTCTTAGAACGCTTCAGCCAGGAAGTCCAGATCCCAGAGGTTCGTTGCTTTTATGGAATGCAGATAGCTATCGAGAATATTCACTCTGAAATGTACTCTTTATTAATTGATACATACATCAAAGACTCCAAAGAAAGGGACTTTCTCTTCAACGCCATAAGCAACTTAACTTGTGTTGCAAAAAAGGCTCAGTGGGCATTAGATTGGATTGGAGATTCCAAATCTACTTTTGCAGAACGTTTAATTGCTTTTGCAGCAGTGGAAGGTGTTTTTTTTTCTGGTAGCTTCGCAGCTATATTCTGGCTTAAGAAACGGGGTCTTATGCCTGGACTGTCTTTTAGCAATGAATTAATCAGTAGAGACGAAGGACTACATTGTGATTTCGCTTGTCTATTATTTAAACATATTATCAAAAAGCCTTCGAAAGAACGTGTTGAGTCAATAATAAGAGAGGCGGTTCTAATAGAACAGGAGTTTTTATCAGAAGCTCTACCAGTCAGCTTAATTGGAATGAATTGCAAACTGATGTGTCAGTACATTGAATTTATCGCAGACAGGCTACTAGTTGAACTTGGTTATGAAAAGGTTTGTAAATTTTCTTTTAATCGTTTTCGTTTAGATGTATCATTCTGACAATCCTTTTGACTTTATGGAAAATATATCGATCGAAGGAAAGACAAACTTTTTTGAGAAGCGAGTTGGTGAATATCAACGTGCTGGTGTCATGTCTCGAGCGAGAGGCGAATCAACCCATAACTTTTCTGTTGATGAAGATTTTTAGTGTGACGAACTATATTTTTATATGAATAGATATGCATTTATATCTTTATAGATCTTGACCAGTCTTATCCGTACTTGGTTCTCAGGGTTTCATATCTGGGGCTGTAAACGCTCTGCCAAAGCGACTCCAGTACTCAATTTGTTATGAGGTATTTTTGACTCATTAGTTTTCTCGCTCTGTAGTTACTAAATATACTTTTCGAGTGGTTAGTCACATTCCCTGTGCTTTGTGTTCCGAAGTACGAGGCTCAGTCTACGCAAAATTCTGGTGGTCGTTCGTCACTCTATCACCTAAGTCGCAAAACCAGATCAGCAACTGGCATAAGGTTAATTGTGGTGTACTGGCATTCAAACTGAGAGATGTTAGTACGAGTGGTAATATTAAGTAAGTAGAGTTAAGATTCTGGTTCCTGAGCACTGATCAAGTAAAGGATATGGGAATCTTCTATGCACAATTATTTAAGCATATGGCTGGCGTTTCACGTTAAGTTATCACCTCCAAATAGTGCGAGGGATTGTCGAATACCAGTGAATAGGACCACTCCACGTCTGGTACACTTATCAGAAAGCAGTACTTGGTTCTAGTAACTGAAGGTTAAATGTACATGGTGGAAAACAAGAGCTACGGCAGGGTGATATTGCGTACAAATATTTGATCATGGGCCCCTTCAAAACAGTCAACGTTGTTTGCTGGTGTGCGGCTTGGTTAGATGATTTTACTAAAGATTACTCCGTAAGGTCGTATAACAATTTTTCGCGATGCTGGAATTAGATTATTATTTGAGCATGAAAGATTAGTTGCTTAGTATCTAGCGTCATTTCAGGGGACTAAGGGGCACTGCGTGAATCGAGCTGCCAAAAACCAGTCAAGCCTCCTAATCCGTGCTGAAAGTCCTCGAGATACCGGACCAGGACTGATGAGACTCCCAAAATAAGAGCAGCGGTCGATGCGCCCAACTACTTCAGTCCCTACCAATAATTTGGGCGATGGCGCAGGGCAATCCTGAAGTGACATTTTGGATATGGAAGGAGGGGACCGCATCCCAAAAATGTTTGCATTTTTATTTAAGGTTGTCAGAAGGCTGCATATTGTTAATGTCTTTAGACAGAACTATATTATATGCGTATCTTAAGTCAGCAAGTGGATCTCCTGGCAGAAGATCAATTCGTAGAAAGTTGGGTGATGTAGGTTATCTCTAAAAGTATGTTGATGTCAAACTTAAACATAAATGGGAAGGACGGATAACCCTGACGTACACCACCCAAGGGAACTAGCCCTAGTTATAGTTCGCCATAAATCCTGACTCGACGAGTAGTGTTTGCGTAGAGAACCTGTACAAGGTCAAGTTGCCTCTTTGGTAACCCTTCCAACAACAGGCAGTGCCACAGAACCTCATGGTCAACAGAGCCGGACGCCGCCTAGGAGTCGAGGAATACAATTTGATTCTCACGTCGCTGTTCCAGAAACTGCTGAAGGGTGAATATTTCGTCCATACATTCACGTCCAGGTTGGAAACCAGCCTGGTTCTTTCTAGCTTACTTTTAACGAGCTCTAGGTAGACGTCGAAGTATTGCTGTTAATATTTTAGACACTTAATTAAACTGATTGTCGTAAGATTCTTATCTTTTCTTATGGACTAAGTCACGTCCCAGTTTTTGCTCGTTCCCTTTATTGAAGTACGGCATATCGTCTATTTGCAATTCACGAACCCAAATTAACAATAGAACCAAACTCCACTTAGATACCAAAGTTTATTCGTGATTTACAGATAGTCGACCCAAATGTCTGGCTCTATCATAACCCAAATGAATGGGCGATGAAATGCTAGCTTCAATAGCCATTTTGGCCTTTCCCTTACATTAGTATAATAAATACGACAACAATTGGCCCTTATCGGACAGTTTACTCTCGATAATGCTAGTAAACTGACTAATAAACCGGTGGTACTGACTCGGTTGTCCATCAAAATATATCATATCGATCTTAGGTAAAACCATATTATCAACCATTGTATGTAATGTGTCCTTCGATGTTACATACCTCCCTTGAGTGATTATTACACCCAGTATCACAATCCAAATAATTTTCCACTTTAGCATTTATCCCACATATATCTACGGGTAGTTGTTCATCGTCCTCGATGGCCTTACATTTTAATTCAGCGATATTAACCTCTTCTTGGAGATCTAACATCTTAAGTTGCCGTTCTAATTCAAGTCTCTAAATGCTTTACCTAACTTTAATCTAGAAGTACTAAGCTGACTAGAGGACATACTATTAATACTAACATCACATTTATCATCATTAACGTCATACATACCACAAACAGCTCTGGAAATTTTACCGTCCAATTCGTCATTTTCCCTCGGTCTTTTGCTTCGAGTTTCCATAGTACGCCTTTGTTCTGTAGAACCAGAATTTGGACCCGAATTATTGTCCAGACTAATCCAAAGTATGAACACCGAACCAAGTTGTTACCAGATCTTAGCTAATCTAACTGCTAAAACTGGACTACCATCCTTTAAAAAAATAATTCACCAGGCTCTGCTGCTCTTCCTCGCTACAGACCATTAATAGCTTTCTCAGCCTTACTAAGAGATGGAGGACTTACATCAGTTTGCTTGTAGATGGTGTGTGGCCAAAGACCAGTTGAGCTATTCCCTAAATTATTGTCCTCTTCGGTTCAAACTTCTGGATTGAAAGTGAATAATAATCATCTGTTTACGAGATAGTTTTAATAACAGTTGTATCATAAACACCCGCTTCTTTGGTAAGTTTAAACAGTTACCTATTGTAGCCGCCCTTTTCATCTATTCCGCTTTTGCTACCCACTTCTGCTCGCGATCACTACATAGGCCTTTCTTACCAGCCAACGCTTAAGCTCCCTCATTGTGTTTGGAGCAAGACGGAATGAGTTTCCGAGCATCTATCAATTCCGTAGACACCGCTGATTTTCACTAACCAGACGAATATGTCCTCAAACTAGAGCATGACCCGAGTCAAAATATGTGCTCCAAAATTAGCGAGTTTTTTATCGAGCTCCTCCAACGATGGTTAATAGCGATGTGATTTATTCGAGTCCATCAATGAGTCGATCGTGGAAGCCGTCAGACGAAGTTTCGCCTTATGTTCAAAATCGGTGTTTTCTAGAAATAGATGGTTATCTGAGCAAAGCTGCGACAGACGATCGCCGTTATTATTTCTTAGAACTGATTATAATAAAGCCATTTGTGTGGTTTTAGTCCTCATTGAAGTGGCGGGTAACTATTGATAAAAGAAAACTGGGAGTAAATATTTCGTTCGTTTCCGTGGTTAGGATGTATTATTTGGATACCAGGTCACTCAGCATCTGAGTAATAAACGACTACTATGCTTTTTTATTAGCTTGTCTTGTTTACTTTTGTCGTATTTCATTTGTATCGTTGAATGGAGCAGTTTAAATTCATAAACTTTTGTGCTTAGCTTTCCACTAGTATACACTTTCTTACCTATTAGTCGTCATAGTTGAAAGCGTTGGCTATTATTCATATGAGTATAGAGATCTTTCACTTCTATACTCAATCCATCCACCAGTCAATCAGTAACGTAGGACTGGGCACATATGTACTTTAGTTCGAGTTGCAACACCACATCAATACACAGCGATGAAATTATCAAGATAAAAGTAGTAATATCGCTGATAGTAGAAAAAATTGGAAATAGACTAAATGATTAAAAAATGAACTCGTGGAATAGGAAATTATGAGACAATTTTCAAACTCAAGATGTGTATTGCGAAAAAGGAACGCACATGTGCCATTGAAATTGATTTTGAGCAATATCAACTACTGGTTACGATAACCGCGCAGACACCAACCAAGAAGACTCAGAGCCACAATCAGTAGCTCTCTGAATTGGTGCTTCGTTATCGTTGACAGCCTCCTATCTCAGTGATGATCCGCGCTTCCAGAAGAGGCTGCTTAGAGGGTTGGGTCAAGTGGGAAGTACAATAATACTCAATATACAAGCAAAATTATAATTACACTACTTTGCACCTTTTAATCACAATTTACACAGCGTTAAAACTGATAAATTTCGAAAAGAAGCTTCCCAAGACACAAGTTTTCCGTGTATTTATTATTTTCAGAACAACCTGGACTCATGTCAGTAAACACAATATGTATGACATGACTTTAGAATACCTAAAAACTAAAAATGACACCGAGATACACATCAAGTTTGAAATTGTCTTCACTTACGTAAATAACTAAGTTTACAGAGACATGTAATTGTAACAAGTAGGATTTTACGCCGTTACTCATTTTAAATATGTTTCACTTACGCCATAAAACACAGTAAAAAGTGAAATTTAAGCGAACTGGTTGTTTAATAGGTCAACAATAATTAACCACAGTCGGGCTAGTTTGTACATAACGCCACTATAAAAACAAAACACTGCACTGGAAGTAAAATTAAATGATTGTAACAATTAATAAATGATACTAGTAAATGTATTAGACATATAGTCCATTTTATTCACAAAATCATTTCAGTGATAAGCGAGCAATACAAAATATATAATTTCTTCAAGGATCTGCAAGAAATCTGACGGTGCACCATATTATAAACGTTTTGCGAAGTGAAACAAAATAGGTCCATTTGGGTTTGTACAACTAATTTCAAAGAGAAAATATCCTTCAAAGTAAAGTTTAGAAAGAGCAAAAATACAAAGATGAGCTTATGAGTAACCTGTTAACGATGAAAAATAATCAGAATAAATTATTATTGACCAGATGGAGCAACAAAACACTGAAGTTGACAGGTTTTATTGACGGAGTGCAGCAAGCCTGAAATAAAAATAAATAAAGATTTATGAAGAGGTGGTGGCCATGTTATAGTCTGAATACACAACCCAATAAAGGTAACTATTAGCTCTCAAAAACAAAACTCAAGACAACACATCTGAAAAGATTACCCACATTCGATTAATGGCCTCTAAAAAGATTGAGAAGCACACAAATTACAGTACCTGAAAGTTAATAATAAATCCAAGATGAATGGAATAACAAGATTACTTAAATATCAGTCAACTCCAGCTAACTGAATATGAAGAGTCGAGTATAATGTGAGGTGAAAATATAAAGTATTAAATACAATGGAAATTTAAGATTAATGTCCGATGTTAGACTATGGAGATAAAGTGCTACGTCATTAAGTTACACCATACCAACTTT